GGAGTGGGGGCGGGGGGGGGGGCAGGGGGCCCTGCGCACTCCTGGAAGTGGACCAGAAGTGCTTCTGGTTCACTTCCATGTCTGCTGCCCAGCATGTTAAGAAGCCTCCCATGCTCTTGTGGGACACCCCATCTGCTCCACCATTGCAGCATTCACGAGCTGCCTGATACCTCGAGGTATGTAGAAAAAACATTTAAAGCTGTGTCTATGTCCGAATCACCAAATCTTTCCGAATCTCTCCAAATTGATTTGGAGGGTTCCAATTTGATTCAGAGAGATTAAAGGGTCTCTTGATTTGATCCGGAGATTTGGCCACTGAATTGGGCTGAATCTCCACTGAATCGAATCAGGGATCGAAACTTTGTACAGCCCTAATAGACGAGGTGGGGAAGGAGACACAATAGCTGGGGTGGGCAATTATTTTAGCTGGAGGGCTGCTTAATGAGTTTTGGTGAGCTGTGGAGGGCCACAAGGGTAGCCCCACCCCTTGACAGGTGCCCCATCCCCTGGCTGCCGTCTTGGGGCCGGAAGTCCCACCCCAACCCCTGACCTGTGCCACCAGAAGTCCCCCCCCTTGCCCCCAGAAGTACTCCTTTGGTGGGGGGAGAGGAGGGCTGTCATCCCGAAACTGGAAAAAAAAACAAACCATATGCTAAAAATCAAACATCTACTATAACATATTTTAATATTATTTCAAAAAACATTGTTGTCCTTGTTTACATACATTTGCATACTGTATACAGAGGTGCATCATAGCTCAAAAATAAAGTCTTACCCTTGTATATTGCATGTGGGGCATGTGTGAGGGAGTACGTGGGGTGTGGTTGGGTCTGTGGTGGGGTGGGTGGGTGTGGGGGGGGATCTGGAGGTATGTGGCTGTGTCTGTGGGGGGGGGGGGGCAGGGGGTGGTTGTTGGAGATAGTGTGGAGAGGGCATGGGGGTGTGAGGGAGGGTTTGAGTGTGGGAGGCTGTGCCCCCTCCACATACCTTCTCCATGGCGCACAGCCCCCACTGCCAGTGGCAGCTTCAGCAGCAGCAGACAGCCCCCCAGACAGTGCATGGCTCCAGCCACTTCCAGGAGCTGCAAATGGTAGCAAGGAACAGAACCAGAGCAGCCTGCTTCCATTGCATGGGGCTCCCCATGTTTCATGTGCATCTCCTGAGACCCGGCCAGAACCATACACTGAGACGGGGGAGTCCCGCATGATGAAACCAGCAGCCTGGCCCCACTCCCTGCCACTCCCTGGGATTCTGCTGGGAAGTGAAGCTGGCCTAGATCCATCAAGTGGGGCTCCTTGCCACTTCCAGCGGAGTCCCAGGAACTGACCCAGGCTGACCCGGGCTTTGCATTGCTGCTGCCTCACTGGGCACCAGGTGCCCCAGGCTCTGCGCTCCTACTCAGCTGCAGCTTTTCCCTGCTCCCTGGCACTTCCCTACCTGTTACCCAGTGCAGGGACATGAGGAGGAGCTAGGGGAGCCAAGCAGTTCTCCCAGTAGCGGCCCCACCTAGAAGCTGGATGCTGGCTGGAGCCAGGGCTCTCCCTCACACAAGGGTGGGAGAATAACGTGCTGCCCCAGCAAGAGTGTATGGGGCTTGGGCCTCATGTGAATGCAGCACAGGCAGCAATAGGCTGGGTGGGATATAATTAATTGGTGGGTGCCTGCCCATGGGCCGGATTAAGTTACCTGGTGGGCCAGATTTGGCCCATGGGACTTATTTTGCCTGCCCCTGCACTAAAGGATGGAAAGATAAAGTGACTTGAAGGTCATGCACCAGGGAAACAGCAGAGTTGAAATGGAATTCATGGCTCCCAATGCACTATCCACTGCCTCTCAAAAGTATCCATTAAAAAAACTAATATAATACAGTGACCTGCTATGCAACTTTACTCAGCACTATTCTGGCTTTACTCCAGCTATACATGTTGCAAAAATAGAGTACTATGGGGCCTGCATATGTCTCAGCACTCTCCACTCTCTTAGCACTCACATGCTCTCCAGCATTTGCGCAACAGTGGGCAGGCCCACTTATAGGCTCACCTGATCAGCTGTTGACATCACTGTAAGCCACCTGTGGGGGCAAAAGCTGATGATACAGTCTCCACCACCCAATCAGCCACTGCCACTGCTGCAGCCCCATCAGCTGTTGTTGCTGAGTGGCAAGAGGTGATTGGGCTGTCTACAAGCTTCTGTAGCAATGGCACCCGATCAGCTGTTGTTGTAGACCTGGTGGAGTGAGGCAAGAGTCGCTTCATCAAAAACAACCACCACAGCCAGCAAAAGGGGTGAAGTTGCTCTCCTTGCCACCTGCCAGCCCTGTGGTTGGTGGCTTCTGTGCTTGACAGCCATAGCTGTTCAGCAGCCACGCAACCATCAAAGCCTTCAATGCCATAGTTCTACTGGCTATGAGCTGTCAGGAAGCCATGTGCTCTCCCTCCCTCCCCCTTGGACGGGATGTAGGGGAGAGAGACAAGTCAGCTGAGACAGCTCTACATCTAAGTGTCCACTACAAAACATAACGCTTCAAAGTTCCCATTTGAAATAGAAACTTTTTTTGTAGTGGATCTGCCATCTACTACA